CGGTCGACTACGTGGGAGTCCAGCGACATAGCCATTACGCTAACTGCTGGTTCCCTGGAGAGGTTTTTGTTATAGGACGTGTGTGCTCTCCAGAAAGGCAGAGACAGAGAGACATAAAGTGAGAAATCACCCCCCGGGGGGATGGCCACGCCGCAATCCCTTCTCCTCCATTCTCCTCTCGGGATCTTGGGCACGCATGCATACGCACTCAATGTGAGTTTAAGCCACTGGGCCTGGGACTTGAACTGCGGTCGACTACATGGGAATCCAGCAACATAGCCATTACGCCAACTGTTGGTCCCCATTACTTATTTTATATTTACACATGCACAGCAAGGTGAGCTGGGAGATTTTATCAAGTCCATTTGTGTCTTTCTGCTTTACAGATATAGGCCAGGAATTGCTACTTGTGGGTTTTTCCCACACCACAACCAGCTCACCAGTTCTCTGACACCAACTGCACGGTGTCCAGCAATTCCATTTGATTCTGCCCCCATCTAACTGGGACTTGGTGTCAGATCCCAGTTCAAGGGCTCAGCTTCACAAGATTGCCTGTTCTTTAGCTGCCAGGCTAGTCACAGTCTGATCTGGCTACAAATTCAGGGGTTCCCATGACTCCCTCCTCAGGTTCACTAATGCACTTGGGAAGGACTCAGAACTCAGGAAAGGTTTACTAGCGTTTACCAGTTTATTATAAAGGATGCAACTCAAGAGACAGCCACATAGAAGAGACATGGAAGGGGCGGTGGGGAGCTTCCCTGTCCTGCGTGGGCACAGCACCCTCGTGGCTCCTCTGTGTGTTCACAGCCTCAGTATCTGAACCCTGCCCTTTTCCCCAAAGGCTGTGGAGTAGAGTACTCAAAATTCCAGCCGGCTGTTTATCTGGAGCTCTAGGATTGTTCCCTAAAGGCTCACCAAGGGTCACCTTACTAGCATAAACTCAGGTGTGGTTGGAAGGGACTTGTGAATAGCAAAAGACGTTCCCATCTCTGAGGAAAATCCAGGGGTTTAGGAACTCTGTGCTAGGAACCAGGGTCAAAGGCCAAATACATATCATCCTGCAGTGCAGTTCTATAAAACTAGGTCTTGTTTTCAGACCAGAGGGGTAGGTTTCAGAACATCAGTATTGGATTCCTTTAGGCCATTGACAGGTGTCTTTATTTGGCCACAGAGCCTTCAGTTTGGTTCTTGGTGATGGAAATAACATTTGCTCTGAGGTCCTTAAATGAAAGGTGCCATTGAGACAGTCAGTGCCCTATTCCGCGGGGCCTTTATCAGATTCCAGTACCGTTCCTTTCCTTGCTTTAGACTTTTGTCTTCTTCAGATGGCTATACTCTAGTCCTGTGACCGAGCTAAATCCTGTGACAGAGCTAATTTTGCAGCGAGATGTGACAAAAACAGAACATTTTGTGGATAGAAATAATTCTCATTAAAAAAAGAAATTGGGTCATATAATGTGGATAAAAATGTCTTTTAATGGTGTTCATTTCTTTAATGCTAAACAGCATGTAAATGATCATACTTGGAAGAGGAAGGGAAAATTGTTCGGAATTACAATTTTTTCCCTATTCTACAGGGTTTTTTTTTTTTTTTTCTGCCTAATTTTTTTTTTTTTTTAATTGTCAGAGGGCATGTGTACTTGTCCGAGAGACAGAAAGAAAAGGATGGGGAGAGAGGGAAAAAACACCTCCCAGTGGAGTGTGGTCATGCTGCACTCTCATCTCTCCCATTTTTGTATCCTTTTGGGACATTGGTCACTCAAGCACATGTTCCGCATGTTTTCATACTGCCAGAGCCGGGACTCAAACCACTTGGCTATGTGAGATCTGGGTCACTTAACAACCAGGCTAGGGGAATCCCTTGCCTGCCTATGTTATTTATTTATTTATTTGTTTATTTATTTAGAGAGTTTTAGCTATAAGGCATATGCACTCGCTGGAGAGACAGAGACAGAAAGCAAGAAATCACCCTCTGGGTGGGGTGGCCATGCTGCAGTTCCTTTTCCTCCATTCTCTTTTCAGGATTTTGGGTATTCATGCACATGCACCTCGTGTATTTTAAGCCACTGGTTCTGGGGCTCAAACTGTGGTTGACTATGTGGGAGTCCAAAAAACGTGACCATTCTGCCATCTGCTGGTCCCTGCTTACCTATTTCAATGTGCTTGTTAGAGATATAGGTACTATAGTCTTAATACAAGCTTTCCTTAGAATTTAAGCCTTAATATGAAATTTTAAAAAAAGTTTCTTTCTTCCATGAGTGAAAGAGAGAGATCCCCTGGTGAGGTCTTGACACCACAGTATACCCTGCCTCAGCCAGTCCCTGGACAATGGGCTTATGTTCCAGCATACTCAAGGAAGTCCCACCTCCGTCAGCCTTGCATAGTGCGGTGTTTTGCTCCTGTGCCACGGTCTGACTCCCAAATTGTTATTTTAAGTGTTTCTGAGCATGTATGGAAGTCTCTTGGTGTACAGGAACACAAGTTGGTCTAACGTAGTGCCTAGCTGTGGTCCAGGGCACTCAGTAATTATCTGTTGCTCTTCCAGGAATAAGAAGCCTCTGTGGGCTATAACTACCTGTGTGATTTAATTAGAGTCTCATTTTTCATCTTTAAAATCACTAGAACCCTTTCTGGCTCTGATTCCGTGACTCATTTTATTCTTGGTCTCATTTTTAGAAATTTAGTTCTACTATGGTTTGGGAGCCGGTCTCTTGAAAACAAGCAAATGCAGAGTCACAAGCAAATTGAGATGGGCAGAATTGGGAAGTATGAGAGAGCCCGCCTTCTGTGGTTTCAGTTATTTGCATGGTTTTTTGTTTTCTCTCTGGTAGAGTTACTTTAGATTTTCTACTCACATCAGGTTGGGATCAGGTACTTATTAAACAAGTCGATTTCTTAGCATCTGTCTAAAAGGAGAAGGAGCTTGATAGAATGACCTTTTCTAGTACCATGTGCCATATAGTTCGGTTTCAGGGATATTTCAGTTATTTATAAAATTATTTTCTTAAGGAAGGTTTAGAAAAATCTGGCCAATTGATCAAACCTTTACAGAATTTTCATATATTTCACCATGTCATGTTTCCATAGTAAATGTTAGTACACCAAAGAAGTACAGTATGATGATGATCAAATTTCTAATCTGATTTTACTGATTTCTTTCTGTACCTGGAGAATTTGCACTGCTCTTTCAAATATTCTGAAATCACAATTGCCTTTTTCTTAAATGGTTTTTCCTCTGTTCACAATACAGTGCACATGTGCACACGTGAGCTTTAGAGATGAGCATCATCCGTGGCTCTGGCCTTGCTGCGATCCCTTTCTCCTGTCCTCCAGCACAAGCCTGGCATGTTTCCAGCCAGCCAGGCTGCGAATTCAGACTGGAGTTACTGTGTGGGATTTGGCTTCTCTGGAGTAGTTCTTGTTTTCTTTTTAAAGGTTTTTATAAAATTTATTTATTATTGTTGTTGTTGTTATTTTTGGAGAAGTTTTTGCTATAGGGTGCATGTGCTCGCCAGACAGACAGAGAGACAGAGAGACAGAAAACAAGAAATCACCCCCCAGAGGGGATGGCCACGTCGCAATCTCTTCTCCATTCTCCTCTTGGGATCTTGGGCACGCACGCACACGCACCTGGCCTAAGTTTTAAGCTACTGAGTCCGGGACGTGAACCGCGGTCGACTACATGGGAGCCCAGCGACATAGCCATTACGCTAACTGCTGGTCCCTATTATTGTTATTATTTTAAAATATGCCATAGGGCATGTGTTGTCACCAAAGAGAATCAGTGAGGACTGGAATTGGTAGGGTGGGGAGAGTGAGAGAGCAAGCCGCCTGGTCCAGAATATGAACCGTGGTTGGCCATGTGTGAGTTAAATGCCTTAACCACCATGCTACCTGCTAGCCCTCTGGTTCTTTATTTCTGCTCTATGGAGCTGACCCACCATTTTGTTTTTTACTTTGGAAAAATGAGTTCCTTTTCTAATATTTTGGTAATTAGGCTTTTCTTTGGCCTAAAATCAGAAGACAGACTTGATCACTTAAAAATTAAAATGCATGGGGGTCCAGCAGATGGCATGGTGGTTAAGCTGCTGGATCCTACCTAGCCAACTCTGTAGTTTGAGTCCTGGACCCAGCAGCTTGAGAAACATGCTGGGCATGTATGTGTGTGTGCCCAAAATCCCAACAGAGAATGGAAGAGAAGGGATTGAGGCATTGCCATCCCTCCTGGGGCTGGGGTGGTGGTGGTGGTGGTGGTGGTGATTTCTCATTTTCCCTCTCTGTCTGTCTCGTCTTTGGAGAATGCACGTGCCTGATAGCAAAAAAACTAAAAAAAAAAAAAAAATTAAAAAAAAATTAAAGTATAGTTAGGTTTGAAATTAATGTCATTGATTACTGGTACAAACATTAGCATTCTTCCAGATTTTCTAGTAAAATAAAGAAAGCAATAACATTTATTTTCTGGCTTTATGGTATAGCATGGAAGTAACTGAGGGTTGAGAAGTCTAATCTAAGATGCATATTTACAACTACCATTGAATTAGTATTACTCAGTGCAGTTACGTGCTTTGTGTTGTTTTAGAATTTGCATTTGACATGACACTTCTCTTCAAGATGTTTACTCTCCAGCAGGGAAAGAAAAAAACATGAAAAACAGCTAACTATTGAAGGCCATGCAGCTTATATAATGGAAATTCCACGTAGAAAGAATGTGAGGGTTGAAGTACTTAGAGGAGGATTTTATCTGTGGTGTCGATGCAGATATATGTTGGACAAAAGGGATAGCATTGTTGGTATGAAGGTAACGTGAGTGGAAGCCTGCAGACAGATTAGTACAATATTTGTGTTTCTGGAGTTGTGAAATTACCTAACCCATTCATTGACATTTCAGAGGCGTACCTTAGTTTGAGTAAGGTCAGTTAGGAGGAGGTGGATTTCGAGAGAGATCATTGAAACAAAGCAGGTGAATTTTTTTGTTTGTTTTCTTTTCTTTCAATCCATAGGGAGAACAAATTGGAGGGGGACAAGACTTGCATGAGTGAGGACAGTTGGAAGAATCATCAAGTAACTGACTAAGGTGAAACAAGTATTGAAAAATAACTTTTCCCGTCATATACTAAGAACAAGCATTTATGAAAGTATTGTTTACTGATACAGTCCTTTCTTAAGATACTTGTTTTTCAAAAGTATTTCAAGTTTTGAACTTGAACTTTAAAAAATCAGTAGCATGTGATAGACTATTATCTATTTTGTGACAGTTTGCTGGTTTCTTGAGCTGTTCTTTAAGCTGCTTGGTTTGGGACTCGCATCCAGCACCTTAACCACCATGCCATCTGCTGGCCCTCCATATATATTTTTTAAAGATTTATTTTATTTATTGTTATTTTTAATTTGATGAGAGAGAGAGAGTGAAAGGGAAAGTGAGAAAGCAAGCCACCAGGTCCAGGACTTGAACTGTGGTCCGCCATGTGGGAGTGTCTAATGCCCTTAACCACTAGGCCACCTGCTGTGATAATTTTTAGAGGGAGTGTGAATTTCCTTTTCATTATTTGCATTGTTTCACCATTAGTTCTAGATAAAAATATTTTCTCTCTTGGTTGTAAGAACACTGCATTTGGAGGTGTATTGGGGATAGAGAGGATTTGATTTGATTCTTCTGTCTTTTAGGGTTATTCTGAGTGGCTGGCTGAACAAGGGTTGTTTCTGTCCTACTCTTAGTTTTCATTCTAGTTCCCAGTAGAAGTATCTCAAAATACAATTTCTGTCTGAGAGGCACAAAGGTTAGTTATAGAACAGAGTTGGGAGATCTGTTTTCTTCTTGATTTTGAGATATCAAAACAAAAACTAAAAGAAGACAAAATCTGACTCTTATGTCACATGCTTTGGGATGAGGTAATGCACTTGAACACTTTTTTAAAAAATTGAAATACAGTTGCCATTAAGTACATATGTAGTTGAATGAATTTTTATATATGTATACAGCAGTATATGAATACATTATAACCACAAATCAGATCAAAATAGAGAACATTTTCATCCCCCCAGAAAATCCCCTTATGCCCCTTTCCGGTCAATACTCATTTTCTGAATCGAATGCTTTATTATTCATATTATTCATATTCAGAAACAATGAAACAAATCTTGAGATCTTTTGCTTCACTAAAAATGAATCTTGAACTCTGTGGTAATAAAGTCTGATCCATAGAGTAAGGGCTTCAACCTTTAGAAATAGATAGGGTATAATTGTGTTAAAATGCCTTTTTTTTTTTTTTTTTTTTTTCAGAGAGGGAGAAACAGAGAAAGAGGAGAAAGCCTCCTATGGGCGTGGTTGCAATCCCTTCTCCATTTTCCCCTCCTTTTTTTGGGATTTTGGGCATTCGTACACACACGACCTGGTGCATCTTTTATTTTATTTTATTTTTAAATTTTATTTGTTGTTAACATCCTTTATCAAATTTAACCAGAGAGAGAGAAAGGGAAAGTGAAAAGGCAAGCCTCCAGGTGTAGGACTCGAGCCATAGTCAGCCGTGTGGGAGTCCAGCGTCACAACCACGATGTCACCTGCTGGCCCCATGGCCTAGTTTTTAAGCCGCAGGGTCTGACACTCATGAAATCCAGTTGCCTTAACCATCAGGCCATGGGTCCGGCCCCTAGAATGTTTTTTAAATAAAATCCCAATCCAGGTTGCAGAAGTAGTTTTACATCAATAAAATGGCAGTTCTGTTTACCAGCATGTGTTGTTTCTGCATATTACTTTTTTTTTATTTGAGAGACTTTTTACTATAGGGCACATGCACTCACTGGAGAGACAGAGAGAGACAGACAGAAAGCGAGAAATCACTCCCCCCCCGGGGGGGGCATGCCACAATCCCTTCTCCTCCAGTCTCCTCTCGGGATCTTAGGCACACACGCACATGCGCTGGCATCAGTTTTAAGCTACCAGGTCCAGGACTCAAACCATGGTTGACTACATGGGAGTCTAGTGACATAACCACATTACGCCTGCTGGTCCTTCTGCATATACTTCTTCCTGAAAATTTTGGGGTATGTGAAAGTACAGTTATTTGGAAAATCGTGTGTGAATAGGGAGTGGAAAGTGTGTGGTTCAGTGAGTGATGAGCTTGTTTCAGGTTGCATTTTAGTTGTCCTCCTACCTGTGCCGTTGTGTGAACCTGCAAATGAGACCTAACTTCATTTCCAGACGGTATTTTTTTAAATAATTATTTTATTTAACTTTATTTATTTATTTATTTTAACTTGAGAGGGACAGAGTTGGGGGGAGGGGTGTGGGTTCGCCTTAAAGTCCCAGGCAACCAACCTGGAGTCCAAGGAGGAAGGATGGTGGGGATACGTGGAGTTGCGGTAGGGTCGGGCCTGCAGCCTCAGTCCGCCTGGGGTCCGGAACTGCTGGCCGGCTCGATCCGGGTTTCGGGTGGGGAGGGGTGTGGGTTCGCCTTAAAGTCCCAGGCAACCAACCTGGAGTCCAAGGAGGAAGGATGGTGGGGATACGTGGAGTTGCGGTAGGGTCGGGCCTGCAGCCTCAGTCCGCCTGGGGTCCGGAACTGCTGGCCGGCTCGATCCGGGTTTCGGGTGGGGAGGGGTGTGGGTTCGCCTTAAAGTCCCAGGCAACCAACCTGGAGTCCAAGGAGGAAGGATGGTGGGGATACGTGGAGTTGCGGTAGGGTCGGGCCTGCAGCCTCAGTCCGCCTGGGGTCCGGAACTGCTGGCCGGCTCGATCCGGGTTTCGGGTGGGGAGGGGTGTGGGTTCGCCTTAAAGTCCCAGGCAACCAACCTGGAGTCCAAGGAGGAAGGATGGTGGGGATACGTGGAGTTGCGGTAGGGTCGGGCCTGCAGCCTCAGTCCGCCTGGGGTCCGGAACTGCTGGCCGGCTCGATCCGGGTTTCGGGTGGGGAGGGGTGTGGGTTCGCCTTAAAGTCCCAGGCAACCAACCTGGAGTCCAAGGAGGAAGGATGGTGGGGATACGTGGAGTTGCGGTAGGGTCGGGCCTGCAGCCTCAGTCCGCCTGGGGTCCGGAACTGCTGGCCGGCTCGATCCGGGTTTCGGGTGGGGAGGGGTGTGGGTTCGCCTTAAAGTCCCAGGCAACCAACCTGGAGTCCAAGGAGGAAGGATGGTGGGGATACGTGGAGTTGCGGTAGGGTCGGGCCTGCAGCCTCAGTCCGCCTGGGGTCCGGACCTTGAACACTTTTTTAAAAAATTGAAATACAGTTGCCATTAAGTACATATGTAGTTGAATGAATTTTTATATATGTATACAGCAGTATATGAATACATTATAACCACAAATCAGATCAAAATAGAGAACATTTTCATCCCCCCAGAAAATCCCCTTATGCCCCTTTCCGGTCAATACTCATTTTCTGAATCGAATGCCTTATTATTCATATTATTCATATTCAGCAACAGGACAAAGACACCTAGAGCCCCACAGACTCAGTCTGTGGCTTCTAGCGCCCTGCCTGAAAGGGACTCAATAACAGGGACCAGGGTTTCAACTGTATGTAATGTTAGGTTTGCCTTTTTTTTTTTAAAAGCCTTTTTTTTTTTTTTTTTTTTTTGGCTAGAGGGCTCATGCACCCACCACTCACCAGAGAGGGAGAAACAGAGAAAGAGGAGAAAGCCTCCTATGGGCGTGGTTGCAATCCCTTCTCCATTTTCCCCTCCTTTTTTTGGGATTTTGGGCATTCGTACACACACGACCTGGTGCATCTTTTATTTTATTTTATTTTTAAATTTTATTTGTTGTTAACATCCTTTATCAAATTTAACCAGAGAGAGAGAAAGGGAAAGTGAAAAGGCAAGCCTCCAGGTGTAGGACTCGAGCCATAGTCAGCCGTGTGGGAGTCCAGCGTCCCAACCACGATGTCACCTGCTGGCCCCATGGCCTAGTTTTTAAGCCGCAGGGTCTGACACTCATGAAATCCAGTTGCCTTAACCATCAGGCCATGGGTCCGGCCCCTAGAATGTTTTTTAAATAAAATCCCAATCCAGGTTGCAGAAGTAGTTTTACATCAATAAAATGGCAGTTCTGTTTACCAGCATGTGTTGTTTCTGCATATACTTTTTTTTTTATTTGAGAGACTTTTTACTATAGGGCACATGCACTCACTGGAGAGACAGAGAGAGACAGACAGAAAGCGAGAAATCACTCCCCCCCCCGGGGGGGGGCATGCCACAATCCCTTCTCCTCCAGTCTCCTCTCGGGATCTTAGGCACACACGCACGTGCGCTGGCATGAGTTTTAAGCCACCAGGTCCAGGACTCAAACCATGGTTGACTACATGGGAGTCTAGTGACATAACCACATTACGCCTGCTGGTCCTTCTGCATATACTTCTTCCTGAAAATTTTGGGGTATGTGAAAGTACAGTTATTTGGAAAATCGTGTGTGAATAGGGAGTGGAAAGTGTGTGGTTCAGTGAGTGATGAGCTTGTTTCAGGTTGCATTTTAGTTGTCCTCCTACCTGTGCCGTTGTGTGAACCTGCAAATGAGACCTAACTTCATTTCCAGACGGTATTTTTTTAAATAATTATTTTATTTAACTTTATTTATTTATTTATTTTAACTTGAGAGGGACAGAGTTGGGTAGGGAAAGTGAGAAAGCAGGCCTCCAAGTCCACGACTCATATCATGGTCGGCCATGTGGAGTCCAGCATGCTTAACCACCATGCCACCTGCTGGCCCCATTCCCAGCTGATATTTATTCAACACCTTTTGGTCTGAGACACTGTGTATTTGCATCTTTATGAAGTTTCGTGGTGCTATTTTAGCCCATTCCTTACTTCAGCTATTTGTTGTGTTGTTTCTTTTATTTAATTTTTTTTTTTTTTTGGAGAGGTTTTTTTGCTATAGGGCGTATGTGTTCGCCAGAAAGACAGAGAGAGAGACAGAGAGACAGAAAGCAGGAAATCACCCCCCAGAGGGGATGGCCACGCTGCAATCCCTTCTTCTCCAATTCTCCTCTCAGGATCTTGGGCACGCATGCACACACGCCCGGTGTGAGTTTAAGTCACCAGGTCCAGGACTCGAACCCTGGGTCGACTACGTGGGAGTCCAGC